ATACATTGTGTGAGTGTTGTGTGTTTTTTTTTAATTTACTCTTTTCTTTCTCCCTCTTTTTTCTTTTTCTTCTGCGGCGGCCCGCGCCTGCCTCGGCGCTCGCGTCGGCTTGGGGACGGGAGAAGAGGAGGAGGAAGAGAAAAAGAACTCGTGGTAGAAGGCGCCACTCGCCGCCGACGCCGACAAGCGCAGTTGGTCTAGTGGTAGAATTCTCGCCTGCCACGCGGGAGGCCCGGGTTCGATTCCCGGACTGCGCAAGCCTTTTCTCTCCTTCCTCGCCTCCTCTTGTGTGTTTTCTCTTTTCCTCCCCCGCCCCCTCTCTCTCTTCCCTTCAGATATTATTTATTTATCATGTAATAAATAAATAGACCTCACACTCCCCTTTTGTTTTGTTGTGTGTGTGTGTGTGTGTGTTTGTTTTCCCCGCTGCGCCCGCCCAAATCCCGTATGACGCACATACGCACCGATGGAGGTGGCGTGTGCGACTTTGGGTTTTTTTTTCTTTCCTACTCTCACGGTAGAGAGATGCCGGCAAAACAAACAAAACAAAAAAAAAGGGCGGGCAACGCAAAACACACAGACGAACAAACATGCGAAAGTGAGAAGGGCAAAGCCGTAGAAAAAAAGACGAAAAACGAAAAGAAAAAAGCAGTAAATAAATAAAAACATAAAAAAAAAAGAAGACGCCTCGAGGTGTGTGTTTGTTGTCCTCCGCGCACGTGTGATATGCGGTGAAGTGAGGCGGATTGGACCTGTACCATTCGTCACCTTTTTTCCCCCCCCTCTCCTCTCCCCTCCCCTCCTCCTCCTCATCTCTCCTTCCTTCCTACCGTTTTTTGTTTGGAGCCGAAATGCAACTTTATCTGCCGTGTTTTTATTTCTGGGCGTCACCGTGCTGTTCCTCTTCGTTGTTGTTCTTGTTTTTTTTCTTTTGTTTGAATCCTCTAACTCCCTCGTCGCGCTGGTGCGGGCAGCGTCGTGGAGTGCGGCACAAATGGAGCGACGCCTTCATCGCACGGCCATGGCACAGGTGTTGGATGCGCTGAATGTGCAGCGGAAGGCTGCCCTGCTCTCCCTGCCGCTTGAGGCGTCTCTGTCGACGAGTCCTGCGTGTCCTGCGCCACCGTCGCCGGCGTCGCGGCTGCTCAGCAGCCAACTGGACACGGAAAAGGCGCTAATGCCGTTTCTGCGTGACGCGGTTGTGCGGGCCCTTGAGCCCTCGCCGCAGGCTCGTGCGGGCGGCAAGACGACCTCCGAGTGGCCTGAGGTCGGCACCTTGATGGAGGGCCGCCGTCTCGTCGGCATCGATCTCGCCTGCACGCGACTGTCCGGCACGTTTAACCGCAGCGACCTCTCCGGGGCCGACTTGACTGGCGCCTTTGCGGACCACAGCACGTTTAACTTGGCCCGAATGCAGGGCTGCAGTTTGGCAGGCGCGCAGTTTCATTCCTGCACTTTCCTCGCGGCTGACGCTGCGGGCGTGGATGCGCGGCGTGGGCGCTTTTCGCAGTGCGTCTTCTGCCGCGCCAACTTGATCGATTGGGACGTGCGTGGGGCGTCCTTTTACCGCTGCGTCTTTACCATGAGCGACCTGAGCAGGTGGGTGTACGACGCCCAGACGACGGTGATGGAGCCGGTGGATTGGGGCCGTTGCCGGCGCCTCGACTGGACGACCCCCGCGGCCGGGTGCGGGGATTGCCGCGTGGTGGGCAAAGCCGGCGGGGCCCTTTCGCTGCCTCCCCGAGCACCGCCACCCCTGCGCAGCTGAGCCCAACGCCCCTCCTCTTCTTCACACGCCACCGTTTAGCGGGGAACGAAGAGGCTTTCCTGCCGCAACGAGGGCCGCGTCGCTTGCTTGGTGTTCATCTTCCCTGCTGTGAGTGTGTTTATTATTATTGTTTTTACCCCCTCTCTTTCTCTCTCTCGCACTCTCCAATTATTTCATTTTTCATTCTTCCATGCTGCTCCCCACCCCGCTCGCTTCTTCTTCTTCTGCCGCACTGCCTGCGCCCCCTCTTGCCACCGCCACTCGCACGAGTTAGCAGCGACGATGAACATCGAGGCTTTCATCCGCAACCTCGTCGCGATGTACACGGCGCAGGACAACGAGACGCGCCGCGTTGCCACCGTGGACGTGCTCAAGGCAGAGGGCCGGATGAGCCCCGAGGAAATGCGACACATAGGTGTGGGCCTGCTCCGCGTCTCGGACCACGGCGCCGCAGTGCAGGCCTATGGCGCCGTCCTCTTGAGGCGTGCCGTGGCGTCGGGCCGTCTCGCCGCAGAGCAGGTTCCCTATAGTGATATTATTACGTGGTACCTCAACGAGCCCACGCTGAGTCGCCTGCTGTGTGGCGACCTGGTCGACCTCATCACGGAGTGCATGATGTATGAGTGGCCAGAGCAATACCCGCAGCTGATGGAGCAGATCTGTCCACCACAGGCGCAGCTAGCGAAGCAGCCACGCAAGCAGCGGCTGCTCGCCACACTCGTCGTGCGGCTTGTGGACCCGCACCCCGGCAATGTGCCGATGCATCGCATGAAGCACCTCAAACGCGCCCTCGCCTCTCACAGCCGTGTAATTCTGGCGGAGTCGATTCAGGCGCTCTTTGACCTCTACACAGCAGCGGGCGGCGAGGGCGCGCAGCAGTTGGACGAGCACGCCCGTGAAGCCGTCATAGACTGCCTCACCATTACGGTAAACGTGGCCTCCTGCCTGCCCGTGCCCCAGTGGTGGGAGTTGGGGCTGGGGAATGCGCTGTCGGTGCTGGTGCGCTGGCCGCCCCTGGCGCAGGAGGCACTGGCCGCCACAGCCGCCCTTCTCAAGTGCGACGGGTTTGTAAAGTCCACAACGGCGCAGCAGCAGGAACCGTTGTTGCTGGTGGCGGCCGTGCTGGGCTGCGTCGAGGCGTGCGTGATGGAGCGGAACTACGGCACATTGGAGGAGGTGGCGGAGCTGCTGGTGGAGATGCCGAACTCTGTCATTGAGGCCGTAATTGCCCCAACGAGTCAGGCCTGCCTAGCGATGCTGTCCGTCCCGAGCATCTACTTGGCTACGGCCGCGTGCCATATTTTGAAGCGACTGGGCGACGCCGCGTTTGCCCACATAAATGCTCTTGAGCTAATGATGCGCTTTGCAGCGTTGATCCCAAAGAACAAGTTTCACCCGCGGTCCGGCACCGATGAGGAGGGGAAGCAGCTCTCAGAGCAGCAGTATGGGTCGGCCGAGGCCTTTGAGTGTGGCTTTGGGGTGTTCCGCAGTCTCACAGGCCACCTGCTCACCGCACTGGCCCGCGTCTACCCTGTTGTCAGCAATCAGTTTGTCCTGCAACTCCTCGCAAGCCTGTGCGACGGCCGTGGCTCAGCGGCGGACCCCAGAACCTCGTCTGGGTTTGTGACGCAGCAGAGTGTCACCTTCCGTGAGTGGGAGGCGACACAGTTCATGGTCGACCATCTCTCAGAGTCGTTTAGGTACTCCTCAGACTACGTCCCGCAGGCGATCGCAGCGTTGCTGGCGCGGCAGACGGAGGACATGGTGCTCTGCCCTGTCTACCTCAACATGCTGAGCTACTTCTGGGGCTGCAGGGACGACGCGGCGCTGGGTGTGTGGGAGGGAACCCTCGGCATCCTCTTCGCCTGTCTGGAACGCAAGCAGAGCGACCCGCACGACCTTGACTTCCGGTCGGCCCGCAAGCGCGCTCTCACGCTGCTGGTGACCGCCTGCAGCCAGCACGAGGCACGGCTGGCCAGCTCCTGCGAGGCGCTGATGAAAAAGTTTGAGCAGCTGTTGATGATGCCCTCCACGATGCCGCAGGAGCGGACGCTGCTCTACGAGGCCCTGGCGGCACTCACCAACGCCCTCCCCGTCGATGAGGGGCAGGCTCGGCTGCAGTCGTTTTTCACGCCCGTTGCAAAGATGCTGATTCAGCGCGTGCAGGCCATGGATCAGGCGCGGTTTAACAGCATCATCGCGGCCCAAAACGCCAACCTGCAGGCTGAGCGGGATATGCTGCGTGACAGCGTGGCCATCGTGGCCGGAGTGCTACGGCGCTGCAAGACCTGCCCCTACTTGGTGGAGTCCTCCACGGAGTTGACGCCGTCGATTCTGCGGCTCATGGAGCTTATTCACTCGCTCCGCCCGGAGCAGCTGCCCGCCGGCTACGCGTGCATTCTTGAGATGGAACGCGACCTCCGCGAGCTGTACCTGCCTGGCCGCTCGCGGAAAAGTGCGCCGCGAAAGAACATCCAGAAAAGGGCCCGCCTGACCCTCATGGAGCTGCGCATGTCGCTCTATCAGGTGGTTGAGGCGCTGAGCACGTTTCTGCCGGACGAGCCGCTGCGAGCGATGCTGCAGACGCTGCTTGCTGCGGCGGAGCTGTTGCCGTTGCACGTCATGCGTCCCCTGATAGTCCACTGCCTGTTCCCCATTGGCACCTCCCACGCGGGCCTCATTGCGAGTATTCTCCCCATCTGCGGCGTCTTCTTCGCCGGCGTCGCCCACCGCGCCTCCGCCCGCCCGGAGGACGACGTCGTCGACACAAAACAGCTCTTCTACCTCTCCAAGGACGTCTTCACGTTTATGCGGCAGCAGCTGCTCGAGAAAAAGGCGTTGGCGGGGAACCTGGCGCTCGCCCACGTCGCGGTTGAGGTGGCGCTCAGCATCCTGGAGAGCGGCTCCAACGTGCCCGAGGCCAGCCGCTTCATCGACACGGCGCTGGAGGCGGGCAGCGGCAGCGGCGGCGGGAACGATGCGCTGGAGGAGCTGGCGACGGCGGCCTTTGGGCGCATGCTGGACTTCGCCGGGCGCGCGGACGACGCCCTGCTGCCCTTCAAGGACCGCGAGCGGCTGATCTTCGCGCTGGCCGACGTCTACGTCGACCGCTACCCAAAGTACACGGCGGCGCTCCAACCCCGCTTTCCGCAGGACCGCATTGACGAGCTCCACACGCAGCTGGTCATGTCCCACCGCTTTGACCTCAAGCGGCGGCGGTTCAAGGAGTTTGTGCTGCAGGGGGCGGGAAACACGCGAACGGCGTCTAACGGCTGGTAAGGCAGCGGAGCCGCAACTGACACACACACACACACACACATGGAGAGCGATAGAGGGAGAGAGCGCGGGATAGCGAGAGGAGGATGCTCTCTGCATGGCGCAGCGCGGCTCCGTGCCACTCGACTGACGCAAGAGGAGGAGGCAGGGGGGCGACGTTGACGGCTCATGAAGAAAAAAAAAGAACAACCGTAGTCACTATAGTACTGCCACCACCGGCGTTGGTGGCTGCCGGTCCCACTTGTGTTGCGTGCGCGTCTGCCCGTAATTATTTCCTCTTCTTGTTCCTTTTACTTCTTCTTCTTTTGCCGCCTCCCCAGGCCCGAGCTGCGCGGTCGGGGCCGCGAGAAGGAGGCAGCAGCAGCAGGAGGAGGAGGAGGAACGGCGCGCCGGCGGCGCCGCCTCGAGTGGGAGGCCGCACTGTGGACGCCTCGCAGTGCCGCGGAGGAAAATGCGTGGACCGCGTGCGGCGGATTATTATTACCGTTTCCCCCCCCCTCCCCTCTTTTTCTCTTCGGCTGCTTCTTCGCAATGGCCCCGACGGTGGGGATGCGGGCGCCGCATGCACACACACGCACCTTTTCCTTCTCTCTCTCTCTCTCTCTCTCTCCTCTCCTCTCTGCGCGTGCGTGCGTCACGGCGCCCTCCTCCCTCCCCTCGCAAGAGAAGAACAACAAAAGGCAGCCGCACGCAAACTCAAGCGATAAGCAAAAGTTTTTAAAAAAAGTAAAAGGAAGGAAAAAAAACACACACACACGAAAACAAGCAAACAACAAAAACCTAGAAACCTACAGCTGCAACTAGGATAAACCCGCGCCTCGCTGCACCCAAGTGTACAGATACAAATAAATAAATATATATCTATATATCTATCTATCTAAGCAGGGATGTTTCGCCGACGTGTGGTGCAGCAGCTGAGCAGCGCCATGGCAAGCCTGCGCCTCCTGACCGTCACGCCTATCCCGATGCCAGCCCTCTCCCCCACGATGGAGAAGGGAAAGATCACGGAGTGGGCCAAGAAGGTCGGCGATCCCATCGCCTCCGGCGACACGTGGTGCAAAGTGGAGACGGACAAGGCCGTCGTGTCGTACGACAACGTGTCGGAGGAGGGCTTCTTGGCCCGCATCCTCGTGCAGAGCGGCGAGGAGGCCGCCGTCGGGGACACCGTCTGCCTCCTAGTTGACGAGGCAGACGGCGTCAACTCGGAGGAGGTGAAGAGCTGGAAGGCGGCCGGCGCTGCCCCGGCCGAGGCGCAGGCGGAAGCCGCACCCGCCGCACCCGCCGCGCCCGCTGCACCCGCCGCCCCAGTTGCGGCCAGCGGCGGCCGCGTCAAGGCGTCCCCGCTGGCCCGTAAGACGGCCCGCGAGCTCAACGTGTCGCTGGAGGGCCTCACAGGCACCGGCGGCGGCGTGGGCCGCATTGTCAAGAAGGACGTGGAGGCGGCGGCGGCTAGCGGCGCGGGGAAGACGGTGGCCGCGGCAGCCCCAGCGGCCCCGGCTACGAGGCCAACGCCGGCACCGGCCGTCGCGGCGGCAGCAGCACCGGCGGCGGCGAAGCCCACCCCGCCAGTCAACGAGAACTACACGGATATTCCCGTGTCCAGCATGCGTGCGACGATCGCGCGGCGGCTGACGCAGTCGAAGAACGTGGATATTCCGCACTACTACCTCTTTGAGGAGTGCTGCACCGACAACATGCTGGCGCTCATCCGGCAGCTCAACGCCAAGGGGGATGGCAAGTTCAAAATTACCGTGAACGACTACATCATCAAGGCGGTGGCGCGGGCGAACTTGCTGGTGCCGGAGGCGAACTCGTCATGGCAGGGAAGCGTGATCCGCCAGTACAACACGGTGGACGTGAGCGTGGCGGTGGCCACCCCGGCAGGCCTCATCACGCCCATCATCAGGAATGCGCACGCGCGGGGGCTGGCGGACATCTCCGCCGAAATGAAGGTCCTGGCCAAGAAGGCGCGTGAGGGCACGCTGCAGCCGCACGAGTTCATCGGCGGCACCGTCTCCGTCTCCAACCTGGGCGCCTCCGGCATCCCCGGCTTCTCGGCCATCATCAACCCGCCCCAGTCCCTCATCCTCGCCGTCGGCTCCGCAAAGCCGCGGGCGAAGTTCACGCTGAACGAGGAGACCGGCAAGTACGAGGTAGCCGCTGAGGCGGAGATGGCCGTCAAGTTCACGGCATCCTTCGACCACCGCGTGGTCGACGGCGCGGTTGGCGCGCAGTGGTGCGTGCACTTTAAGGACGCCATCGAGAACCCGCTCTCGCTCCTGCTCTAAATGGCCGCCGTTGGCCTGCGTGAGGGGCTAAGCGAGAGAAAGAAAGAGAGCGAGGTAGAGAGCGAGAGAGCGAGCGAGGGAGAACGAGGTAGCAAGAGAAGAAGAAGAACAGGGCCGGCGTGCGCCCGCGGCGGCGGCAGCAGCGGGATGCGGCGTTTCTTTCTGCGGGAGGCAATTCATGCCGTCGCCGGTGATGCCACACCTCGCCTGGGCTGCGAGCCGCCCTGCTCGCTCCTCTCGCATCTGTCACGTCGTGTGTATGTCTGTGTTGCGTGCGTTTTCCCCCTTGCCCGTGTTCTCTCCCCTCGTGCCGCCGAAGTTCCACCACCGCCTTTGCCCTTTTTTTTGCCCGTCGTCACGGGCAGCGCGCTCCGCCCCCGTCGCCGGGTGCGTGTGGCGAGCAGTAGAGGCGGCGGAGTCGAGGGGGTGGGTGGGTGGGGGGATGCGTGTTAATTAGTCGTAATGAATTCTTTTCTTTTCTTTTGGTTTTGCCTTTTTTGTTTTTGTTTTTAACTTGTGCGAGTGACTCACGCCAGAGGTGCGCGCGGCGCCGCTGCCACCAGCCTGAGGCCGGAGCTGCCCACCGGGGGGAACACACAAACACGCACGCACGCACCCCTCCGCCGCCCGCTGCGGTTTTTGTTTTTCGTTTTTCTTTTTTTCGTCCCATGCGTTTTCTTCTGTCCGTGTGTGTGTTTGTGTCTGTCTCTGGGAGGGACGGGGGTGGGAAGGGGGCGAAAGGAGGAAGAGGAAATCGACGGGCGGCGGCGGCGGTGGCAAAAGGGGGGCAACGCACGTAGACGGCGGTGTGGGGAAGTGCGTGTGCGTGTGCGTCGCTGTAGGGGGCATGTGGTAGAGCAGCAGCAGCAGGAGGTGGAGGTGGAGTGGAGTGGGGGAGTGCGTTAATGTGTGAGAGGAAGCGGGAGTGACGCCCCAAGGCACACGGAGGGGGTGCGCGTGCCACGCACGCACGCCCTGTGCGGCTGCGAGGCGCACGAGACGCAGGGAGAGGAAGAGGCGAGGGAGTCAGAGGGCACAGTAAAAGTTAACCGCCGTCCCCTCCCGGCGTGCGTGTGAAGGGGCGGGGTACTCCGTTTGCCCGCTTCTTCTTTAAGGCGTCTTGCTGTTCCCCCACCCCCGCCTCCCGCGCAGGGGCGTGTGCGTGTGTGTGTGGGAGAGTTGGGGGGGGAGGGCGCAGCGGCAATCGGACTGACCCTTTCTACTTCACCCCAAGACAAAGAAGAAGGACGCGCCGGGCTCCAGTAAGCAAATAAATAAACAAAAAAAATTGTTCTCTTTTCTTTTTTTTTCTTCTTCTTCGTCGTCGTTGCCCTGCGTCTGTATGAGAGGTTGGGGGGTGATCCCGTAAGTGTCCCTATTTAACGACCAAGTAAGTGATTTAATAGGTGTGCCAATATGCACGCATACACACACGTATTATATATATGTATATATGTATGTGTGTGTGTGTGTGCGTCTGTGCGTGGGTCTGTGTGTGTCTCTCTCTCTCTGTGTGTGTGCAGCTAAACACGCAGCGAGTGTGTTTCTGTTTGTGTGTGTGCGCGTGTGCTGCAGCCGTTCTGCTCGTGCGCCTTTTCATTTTGCCTTTCCCCCCCCCCTCCTCGCTCACGCGTGCGGGGGCCTGACAAGGGCTGTGTGTGAATGGTCGCCAAGGGGCGGCAGCTCTCCGTGCTGATCGCCGGCGCGACGGGAAGCATCGGCCGCGAGCTCGTCTCGCTGCTCGTCTCGCACCCGGACGTGGGGCGCGTCGTGGCGCTCTCGCGGACGCCGATCCCCGTCAACCGGTGGCGCTCGCGCTTCCCCCGCATCCGCGCCGGCGACGCCCTGCGCTGCCTCTCCGTCGTCCCCGTCGACTGGGACAAACTTGCGGCCGACGCCGCCCGCGTGCCCGCCTCCTACGTCCGCGCGGGCGTGTGGAGCGACGACGGCGGCGCCGCGTCCCCCCCGGCAATGCGGGTCGCGTGGCGGAAAGTGCGCGGCACGGCGGCGGCGGCGGCGGGGCTGCGCTTCAGTCGCCCGCGCGACCGCCGCATGCATGGTGGCGGCGGCGGCGGCACCTCGCGGAAGCCGGCGGCCGACAACGAGGCGGCGGGCGGGCGCGGCGGCAGCCCGAGTCGGGCGGGGTACGTGAACGCGGAGGCGCCGAGCGAGTTTCTCAGCGAGCTGCTGAGGACTCCGTTTTACAATTCCGTCTTCAGGGGGCACCACGTGGCGATTAACTGCCTCGGCTCGAGGAACTTTTTCGCGCGGGCGGCGGTGGACGTGGTGGATCACCAGTACGCGATTGCCTTCGCCAAGATGGTTCGCATCTTCAACTGCATGGTGCACGCGGAGCCCTCGGGGGAGGAGGAGATGCTCATGGAAAAGCAGGCGCGGATGCAGGACAGCGTTCTCTGGGGCGAGATCTACACCGCCTGCTACGGCCGCGCCAATGGCGACTGGCTTGTCTCCGGCGAGGCAAACGGGGCGGGGGGCGGCGGAGGCGCCGCGACTTGCCCCGAGCAGCGGCTCAGCCGTGGCGGGGAGGGCACCCTGCGCCAGTTCACGCAGGTCAGCGTCATGGGAGGCAGCCGATGGAGCCCGCTGCCGTACTTCCGCGCCCACGGCGAGTGCGACAGCGAGCTCCTCGCCCTCTTCAACCGCGCGGGGCACGACCTGCAATCCGGCGGTGGCGGCGGCCTCCACGCGCGCGGGGCGCAGGACGATGGCGCCGACGCGGCGGGGCTGGAGGCGTCGGCCGAGGCGCGGAGCCGGGCGGAGCTGCTGCTGCGCCGCGACGTTGTGAAGCTGTGGGACAACTCCCACCTCACCATCTGGCGTCCGGGGCTGCTGCGCCGCGAGAGGCCGCGGGTCGTGGAGGAGCTTCTCGGCCTTTTCTTTTCCCGGGTGGAGGTGCGGGAGCTTACGGAGGTCATTCTCGACGACATCGTCGCCGCCGTCGCGGACGAGCGCGGGATCGAGGCGGAGGGCTCCGTGAAGGTCGTCGGCGGGAGCAGCGTGGCGGCGCGCGTCAAGGCGAAGAAGGCCGATGAGGACGGCGTGCGCCGCGGGCAGCGCCTGGCGCCCACCCCCGACGGCCCCTGAGTGCATGTGCACGGGTGAAGGTTGGGGGCACCGGCGCCGTTGCGCGTGCTCGTTTCAGGCTCCGCTTCCATTTTTGTATACTTCTCCTCTTTTTTTTGCAGAGCGGGTTGAAGAACTGCCGTTTATATGCTGATTTAGTTCCTTTTCTCTCTATACCTCTCACTGTCTCTCTCTCTTTGTGTGTGCGTGGGCGAAGGGACGAGTTTGCTGCCGCTGCACACTCGCCCGTTGCGGGGGCCGGATGCTTCTGTGTGTATGTACCTGCGATGGAAGGGGGAGAGGGAAACGCCGCGTGCTTCTCGCTCCCTCTCCCTCTCCCCGCCCTCGCCCCCTTTTTTTTTCTACGTTATTGTTTCTCCTCGGGGGTTTCACGAGACGCTTTCGCGTCTCTGCCGCCCCTCTGCGGGGCGTACTGTGCGCCTCTCTTGGGCCGTCGCCCCGCCCCCCGCTGCAGCTCTCTTCTTCCCCTTCTCCTTCCCTCTTCCCTCCTCTTTTTTTCTCGCTTGCCTTGTGCCCTGCAGCAAATGGCGGACGCCGCGGAGGTGCCGCCGGCGCGGCTTGCGGAGGGGGACGCGCTGGAGCGGGAGCACGTGCTGGAGGTGTACGACGCCATCGCCGCCCACTTCTCGTCGACGCGCTACAAGGCGTGGCCGAAGGTGCAGGCCTTCATCGAGGCCCTGCCGAAGTGCGCCCTCGTGGCGGACGTCGGGTGCGGGAACGGGAAGTACTTCGCCTGCGCCCAGCGCCACCGCGCGGAGGCGGCGGAGGCGGAGGGCGCCTGCCGGTACGTTGTGGGCATCGACGCCAGCGAGGGGCTTCTGCGCCTGGCGCAGCGGCAGCTGCGGCCGCAGGGCGCGACGGACGCCGGCCTGCACGACGCCGTCGCCGGTCGCACCGACTTGCTGCGCGCGGACGGCCGCCGCACCGCCCTTCGCGGGGGCCTCTTCGACGCCGTCGTCAGCGTCGCGGTGCTTCACCACTTCGCCACCCACGCGGGGCGGGTGGAGGCGCTCCGCGAGCTGCTCCGTCTCGTGCGCCGCGACGGCGTCGTGCTCGTCAGCGTCTGGGCGAAGGAGCAGCCGAGGAAGCGGTCCAGAGGCGACGCCGCGGACGTCTTCATCCCGTGGGAGATGCACGAGCAGCACGACAAGGCGCGGCGCGTGTACCAGCGCTACTACCACCTCTTCGCCGAGGGGGAGCTGGAGGGACTTGCGGCGGAGGCGGGCGCGGTGGTGCGGGCGTCGTACTACGACAAGGAAAACTGGTGCGCCGTCCTCGCCCCGGCGTGAGGAGACACGGCGGGCGCCGCGTCGCCGCCTCTCTTCCTATTTCTCTCGCCTTCTCTTTCTCTCTCTCGCACCGCCTGTACATCTACCCACCTCCCTTCCTCCCTCTTTGTGTGTGTGTGTGTGTCTGGGGGACGGCTGCATTTTCCCCCGCCCCGCCTTTGCCCAGTCGTTTAGTTTTTTTTTACATGCGGAGGAGCAGCCGCACGACGGAGGCGCCGCCGGCGACGCTCGCCGTGTCGCCGGCGTGGCTGCAGCAGACCGCCGACGCGATTGCCGCGCGCAACGGGATTCTGCTCACCGACTGCGTCACGATGGCGGAGGAGGGCGCGGCGACGGAGCCGCCGAGCGCCGCGGCGCTCGCGAACATCGAGGCGGCGGTGGAGGACCTCCGGCGCAGCCTCTTGGCGCGGGTGGAGGCGGCGCAGGCGGGGCCGCGCGGGTCCCGCGGCGATCGCGCGGAAGACGTGAGGGAGCGGCTGCTTTACGTCGACGTCATGGTGCGCGTCGCCGTCACGGTGGCGCTCGCCCGCGCCTACCGCTCGGAGCCGCAGAAGAAAAACGACGACGACGAGGACGGCGGCGGCGGCGGCCCCGAGAGGGCACCGCAGCGGTACCACGACACCCTCGCGCGTGGCATGCTGCACGTGTTCGAGGCGTTTCAGGAGGTGCACTCGATGCAGCGCGGCCACTACGCGCCGCGGCGCCGCGGCGGCAGCACCGTCGGCACCGTCGGCTGGGACACGCTGCTGCTGCTCCACTTCGTTCACCGCATTCCGCGCGTCGCGCGCGACGCCAGCGAGCACGTCATCGACGAGGCCACCGGCCAGATCGTGCGGAGCTGGCGCAAGCTGCTGCAGTCGCTGCAGGCGGCGGACCCGCACGAGTCGCCGGAGCACTCCCGCCGCCGCGGCGCCCTTGCCGTCTGCAACGGCCTGCTGAGCATCCTCTTCCACCGCTACAACACCCACCAGTGCCGCATCCTCGTCAACTCGGTGGCGCAGTCGGAGCGGACCGCCGAGGCCACGCAGGACTGGGGCAAATCCATCCTGCGCCCAGCCCAGCACATGACGGCGGAGGTGGTGAACTTCTGCTACTACAAGGGCCGCATCATGCTGTACGACCACCGCCTCGCCGACGCCTACGCGGCGCTGCGGGAGGCCTACTACCTCCTCCCGCCCCCCGGCGAGGGGACGGAGGCGCAGCAGCGCAACAAGCAGCGCGTCCGCTTCTACCTCACCGTCGCCGGCGTCCTGCACGGCCGCGTGGTGCCGGAGGAGATCCTGCGGACGGACGACCTCATCGCCTTCGTCTTCATGCCCGTCCTCGCGGCGGTGCAGCGCGGCGACCCGGAGGCGTTCGCCGCCGCCGTCGACGCCTTCGGCACGCTGCTGCGCCGCCGCGGGGTCTTCTTCCTCTTGCAGCGCGCGAAGCTCTACTGCTTCCTCGCGCTGCTCGCCCGCACCCACGCCGCCCTCGGCGCCTGCGGCGTGGACAACAGCCGCGTCCCGCTGCCGGTCCTCACGGCGGCGTACGCCCACGTTGTGGAGGAGGGACGCGCCGCCGCCGCCGCCGCGCCGAAGCCGAAGCGGCCCAAACGCCACCGCGACGACGGCGACGCGCCCCGCACGCCGGCCGCCATGACGGACGACGAGATGACGTGGTGGACGGCGCGGCTCATCGCCGCCGGCCTCGTGCGCGGGTACGTCTCGTACGAACACAAAACCATCGTGCTCTCGCGGCAGGCCCCCTTCCCGACGCTGCAGACGCCGCCGTAAGCCCCCGCCCCGCCCACCGGCCGCGCGTGGACCACAAAAAGAAACAAAAAAAAAAGAAAAAAAAGTGAAGGGAACAAAAAAAAATTTGGCGCAATGCAAATCCGAAAACTAACGAGAAGAAACGGGCCCCAGAAAGAAAAAAACAAGAAAACAAAAACAAACAAAAAACAACGTCATGGAAGACGCCGACGGGAGACGTGCATGGCGGCCTTCCGTGAACACACAGCCAGCCACTGGGACTCATCCTCTGCCCGCCTTTCTCTCTCGCTTCTACTGATGCCCGTCTTCTCCCGCCCTCCCCAACAAAGTGCTCGCCACGCCCAAAGGTGACAACAGGGTTGCAGTCGCCACTCGTTTGGCTGTCGCTGCCGCTGTGCTCCCAGCCACACCACACAACTAGAAAGGCAGATCTGCATCGCCACTTACGGCACAGCCACGCAACCAGCGCCAGGGCAACTCAAATTACTCCACTCAATCTGCCATTCGCTCGTCCCGCTCCCTCCTCGTGAGCGCGTGGACGATGGATGGTGAAGGGAGAGCGGCGCGCACTGGGCCCCGCCGGCCGGAAGCTGCGGCGATGTCTGCGAGAACAAGCATATGTCCGAGGGGTCCGCCTGCGCGGCCCGCATGAGAGCATCACTCGAGTCCTTGAAAGCTGAGCAGCACCCGCTTTACCCTCCCCCTCCCGAGGCGCCTGCCGTTGTGCCTGCCTGCGTGACCCACATGATGCACAACACATACATCACCGTGGGGGGGCTCTGGCCCCCCGTGCCGACACTCCGTGAGCGAGCTTTGTGAAGCGTCATCCGCTGATGCCCTCCATTGGCCCCCCCTCCCTCGCACTTCCC